AATGGTATACAACTTTTTTGTGCACACTTATATTACAGGTGCTATAAGGGGTCAAAGTTCAGGTCTTTGAAAAATAAATTCCTTATATTTCAAACAATTTTGAACTGATTTTTAAAAAATGTATACAAAAATTTTAGAAAAAACACATTTAAATGAAAAAATACCTTTTTTAAAAAAAGATTTTAAACAAACAAAATATTAACAGATATTTAAAAGGTTGGTATCGTTGTAAAAGCGATTAAACTCCCTTCTTCCGAAATGCATATTTGTATACTTCGTATATAAAAATTTGAGAAAAACACTTAAAAGGAAAAAATACCAATTTATTTTTTTTATAAAAAATATTTTAAACAAAAAAATTACTAATTAGTAAAACAATTGAATACTTTATTTCAATAAAACAGCCCTTTAATTTTTATGTATAACCTGTTATGTAAAAAACTAAAAACCATGCTGTTTTTATATTTTTATATGGCTAAGACTTCTGTTACATATACTTTTCCTTTACTTTTAATAGGGCTGTGGGTGAACAAGAACGAATTAACGCTTAAAACACCACCAATTATTTGTTTTATTTAAATACGGTATTCAATTGTATTACATATTAGTAATTTTTTTGTAAAATTTTTTTATAAGAAAAAATTGGTATTTTTCCCTTTTAAGTGTTTTGTTTTCAAACTTTTAATACGAAGTATACAAATATGCATATCACCGACGAAAGGGGGTTTAATCGCCTTAACAGCAAAGCCGATTATTTAAAAATGGGTGAGTAATTTTTTTGTTTAAAATATTGTTTGATAAAAAAAGTAATTTTTTCCTTTTAAGTGTTTTTTCTCAAATTTTTATTCACGAAGTATACCAATATGCACATCAGAAGAAAGGGAGTTTAATTACCTTTACAACGCAACTAATTTTTTAAAAATCAGTTAAAAATTTTTTGTTTAAAATATTTTTTTTTATACAAAAAAAGGTATTTTTTCCTTTAAATGTGTTTTTTTCTCAAATTTTTATTTTCGAAGTATACAAATAGGCATATCACAAGAAATGGGTTTAAATCTCCTTTACAACGATATGAATCTTTAAAAAATCAGTTCAAAACTTTCTGAAATATTAAGTTTTTAAATTTTCGAAGATCTGACTTTTGACCCGTTATAGCATCTGTAATATAAGTTTTCACAAAAAAATTATATACCATATAAATAAGAGCAAAAGGCGGACCACGTCTGTGGTTTTCCTTTTTTTGCTTTTTACATGCAATAGTTAAAAACAATTTTTTACCAGAGGTCCAATTTCGAACTTCGAAGCCCATATCTCGATTTCGGAGGCTAACTTCGAAAAACGGAGAAATTATTTTTTTACTTATGACTCAATCTTTAAAAAAAAAAGTTGGTTTGGTCCAATACCCAGCCAAGTTCTGTACATAGTAGTGGATAAAAAAAAATTAATGCTGTTATTTTTGCTTAAATGGTTTTAAACCATAATACAGTATTAATTTCCCGCACCCCAAATCAATTTTATTAGTTAATTATTTTTGTCCAGCTAAATCATCACTTTTGCCTTGTGTGCGTTGGGACTCAGGGTTGCTTTCTGACCATTTCATGTCAATTTCCTTGTTTACAAACAATATCAGACAAACAACAAGCAATCAATACTTCTTCAATTTGAACAATATAACTATTTTAATTTTAATTTTTGGTATTGAGCTTTGTACCACGATTTTGTTTATTAGGAAAACTGGAAAAAGCAACAAAGTCTAAGCGGTAGAAGTTATAGCAGCTATTTCGGTGATCACCACATCTCCTCATCAGACTTCTTTTTCTAGACTTCAGCAGGAATCGAACCCGCATCATCGATGTGCAAAGTCAGAAGCGCTAACCACTGAGCTATGCACACCCCGTAAACTCTAGTTTGCTAAATTTAAATATAAATTACAGCCAATATCACGAAAGCAATTTAAGTGAAAAATGATTTGATTTTTTTTTTTTAATTATATATGGAAATTTACAGAAAATA